CAAACTGTAACCATAAAACATTGTATTTGTATTTTAATGTGTTTTTTACATTTCGAATAGTAAATTTAAACATTAGGTGATATCATTATTGAAATAATTTCAAATATGTGATTTATGAAGTCTAACTGTAATAATGTCAAATACATTAAAATCAATTTTTTTGTTTTTACGAAAAACATTATTTTAGAATAAACAAACAATATTTGCAATATTTTAGTATAAATTGCAACACAACATACGTAAAATTATTCAGCTAAAATTTAAACATTTAAATAATTATTTTTTAAATTGTTATATTCTTAAAATCATTGTAATGCATTTAAAAACTATTTTAATCTTTTATGCAGTATGTTTTTTTACCGATACAATGGTAAGTATTTATTTAAATATTTAATTGTTTTTTTTAACAAATATATTATATAAATATTTAAAGAGTGACGGACTTAATGCAATCCAAATACAATGCTTGCAAATATTGGTAAAAAACTATAATGATAAAGAAAGAGTAAACAAAGTGATAAAATCTTTTAACGTCGATAAAGAATACAAGTATAATCATGAAGGTAATTATTACGTATAATTTTTAGCTATATTTTTTTATCATAAACTTCTATAAAGAAAGATTCTATTAGGATTAAACTCTCAATATCTCATAATTTTTATGGCTTTTGTTAGTTACATTTGTAACTCAATGTAACTGTTATAAAATATTAAACATGTTTTCCTCTTATGTGTTATGGAGGTATGCAATTTATTATTTTTTTAATGGTAACATAAATATTTCAATAGCCTATTAAAAATAAAATTATGTGATTAAGAAAACCATTGATCAATAACATCTTTTGGACTAGTAATTCAAAAGGGAAATGTCTAGTGATAAAAAAAGCAGGTATCGCCCTTTTACCAGTCAATACTTTAATTTGTTAATAACTTCTGAACTAATGGTCTATAAGTTATTATCGACCAGTCATTTTCTAAATTACATAATTTTGTATTTTATAAGTTAGGTAAATTTGTATGTTTCTATTTAAAAAAATATAGTTGATATCGTAGGTATCAAGTTAATATAAGTTGGAAATGGTTTTTTGTGACGCCGCTATCATAGATATGCAGTATTTATTGTCAATTATGACTTTATCAAGATTTATGTATTCTGTATTGTCTGTTGATGTATTTATTGACTCAAAAAAATATGCCTTACTACCATTAATAATAAACGCTCTGTATTTGTGATAATGTCATCATAAAAAACCAATTAGCTACCAGTATTTGTAATTCCTTGTGTATTATACATGTATATTAACTCAACAATTTGAAAGTTTAAAGTGTTCTATATTTTATAGATAAAGAACATAAAAGAGTTTATGACATTCTACATTTTATGCATACATTTGATAAGGCGGGTGATAAAATAAGACTAACTGGTGATGAACATCCAGTAAAATCATATATTAATTAGTTCATTATCTTTTTAAATGACTCAATAATAAATTTATTTATATTTTTAGATAATAAAACTGAATATAAATGAGTTGGATAGGGTGTTCAGTTCTTGTTCTTCATTGAAGTTAAACAACGATGGTGTTATAGATAATGAGAATTACCATAAATTGATTAATACGTTTTACTTCAAAGGTCTTATTAAAAATGTAACTATAAATTTATTTACGTTTTATTATGTAGATATTCTTATTCAGGCTAATACATACGAATTTTACAAAAACATACATTTTTTAAAGTTTATTATTGAAAAGAATTCAGCTTTTCTTTAATTTGTATGTATTTTTAGCTATCACAGTAAAGGCATATAAATATTTGTCATCAAAAAATGGTTATATTAATTAAAAACATTTGTAAATATTTAATCATCTTCATTCATTTCTTCTGGATTCAAAATTAATTTATAAAACATAATTGTTTTTTTATTTTATCATTTTTTTTTTTAAATATTACAATTTTAATATATATTTTTTAAAGTTTCAGCTTCGATTCGAATCTGAGAGAATTAATTTTACTATGACGTTTTTCACCACTATTTTCCAGCTCTCACCGGTCCGATTTCTAACAACAATACGACAAAAGATCAAACATCGTATCTAGATAAAGAAATTGCCCTTGAAAATTGAAAACAATTCTCTCGTTCTCTTTAAATGGGGAAAATTTCCAAAATATTTTTTATATTTAAAATCAGTATATTTGGACTTTTTTTTAAGTACCATAACTTTTTAAAATGAATGAAACAAAATAATTTTTTTGAAAATTTGTAATGAATAATATGAATGGTTCAAAACTTGAAACATACAAACTTTTTATATAACTTACGAAATTAAAATTTTTTCAGCTTAATTTTTAAAAATGTTACGGAAATACTGCGTTTTTTAAACATATGTTAAATTAGAACTTATCTTACATAATATAACTTAAAGAAAACAAATTTTTCAACAATATGCCTAGTTGTATTAAATCGCCGTTTTAGAAATTCTTATTTTGAATACATAGACTTCAAATAGAGCAATTTTTATAAAAATAAATACTTTTGTAGAGATATTTTCTTATTTTTTTATTCAATTGGAAACTGACCATGTAATAATACACTATTACAATACTCATTTTAATTCTTAATCATCACTAATATAATATAAAGTCAATTAAGTACAATTCCTGTTTTTATTTTTATCTGTCCACATATTAGTTGAAATAAAATGATTTCAATAGCATCCAATTCTTTTCTCCTCATAGTGTGACCAAACTATTTAAGTATATTTTCGGTCATCTTATCCACGATTGATGTTACACCTATACTTCTTCTTATATGCTCGTTCCTTATCCCTTTTTTTTTTGTCATTGTACTCATCCATTTAAGAATTCTCATCTCTTCAACACTCATTCTCTGTTTTATTCTCTTATCAAAAGCACAGAACTCTATACTCATTGGAATTCTTTTATCGCATAACTAACCGTACGCTTAAACTGTACTTAAACTTATGTTTTACATAGATTACTCTCCACCTCTCCTATCACGTCATCGTTTATTGTCAATTCAATATGTTGAAAAATAAAAAAATCAAAATAATTCATTTTTATATTAAAATCTTAAATATTTTCCTTTGATTAAATATACATTTTCGAGAATTTAACTCTTTACTTGCCTACAGAGAGGGATTCAAAATAACAATTTTTACACATAAGTTAAACTTTATCAACTTAATTATTGAAAATATTCCAGTAATACTCTGAGCTCTAAATATATTTTAAACTAAAGCTTATAATATATTCAATTAAAATGATTTCAAAAGTAGTATTAGCAACAAAACCAGTAATTTTTCTTCTAAGAATGCGTAAATTATTGCAAAATAGGATTATATCTTTTACTATCATCTTATATTATCGTTATCAAGGATAGTTACACATAATATTGATATAAAAAAGTAGCTCTTAGTAGTATGCTTTTCTTTTTACTAACACAATAGCCTGTTGGCAGATTAACTGATTATGGCTGATTATTAAATATAATTTTCTAACACAATAAGCATCATCCAGAAAATTCCTTTGGGGGCGTCGATGGTGGTGATAGCAATAAAGTGACCAGCAGATGTTTTTCTGATAAGTAACCAGTAACATATCGTACGATCTCACTCGCCGACATACTGTTTAACTTATATATACGAATCGTTTTAATATAGTCCACTACATAAAAAACCATAACTATTGAGTTCGTTATTAAACAAATAAGACTTGTGAGAATGAATCACCTTTCCACAGCTTAACAATTTTTGTTTTTAAGAAAAACACATGATCTATTATTTCTATCTATCACTACGCAGTAATATCACATACAAACGCTTGTACATAATTTAATAAGGAACATTCTCCTATTAAATAATCCATAAAACCTATTTCAATACCAGTACCTGAACACATTTCTGAAACACCTAATAATTTCTCCACATTTAGACCCTTACCTGTTATAGCTTCCTTCGACTAATTTACTTGATGTTTTTTAATAATTTGTATCTCAATGTACAATAAACGATTCAATATTAATTAATAGTGTGTTTAACTTAATTGTCATAAGATATGTACGATATGCAGCTCTAAAATTTCTAGAGGATATTAAATTAATTATAAAATATGATGGTTTAAATGAAACTACTTCTAAAAAATAATTTAATAAGTGATCATAAGCATCTCAATGCAACTAAATTTGCACTTATTAACACAGTTAATTATTTAAATCCATCTAATTAATACAATCAGTGTATGATTATTAATTATTGTATGATTATTAGTTTACGTATGAATAATAAATAAATATATCTAACAATAAATAAAAAAATATGTAACTATCAGAATGTATTATGTACAGTATATCACTATAAATAATTATTTTAACATTAAAAGTGCATACAAATGATTACTAAGACTTCTATTTTAATGATTTATTACAATAAAAATACAAAAAATAGTGATTTTAACGAAATTTTTAGTTTTTTTCATAAATTTACTGTTAATAGTAATTATAAAAGAATCTGATCATTAATCTAAAAAATAGAATATTTTTTCCTCATTAATATTTTCTATTTAATAATATAAATTCTAAACATGGAATTTGACCTGAAACTGTGTTTAAAAGTTTCAACATTTCTTAATTATAAACTATCATAAAAGCAACTTTAAAGAATCAAAAAAATATGTTATATTTAATGAATACAAAACCCAATCAGAATAAATTATATTTTATGACAAACCTTGAGTTTCTAGTGCCACGTTTTAATGAATTTTAATAGAGTAAAAATTTTGTAAGTAATTTATTTACATACAAATGAAAAGAAAATTGTTAAGCGCCTATTAATATTGAAAATTGAAAAATATGGTCCACTCTAATACTCTCGTTATTAAATAAGCTCTTATACTTAGACGTACTACTATAAATTATTTTGTATATTTTAGAAAAATACACTGAATGCTTGGCATGAAAACATTTGGAAAAAAAGTAATTATTTAACAATTTATAATAAAAAATCTATTATTTTATTTATATTTTGTAGTGAATCAAAAAAAAGAAGAAAACATATTTTAAATTACTTTAATACTTTAATTGTATTAATATGATAATATTTAGGGGGGGGGTTATTAATTTAGGGAGCTACTTTGACAGTTGCTCAAAAGAAATAAGTTAAATAGAATATGACGGGATGTTGATTCTTATTTGATCCACTACTTTATTGTATTAATAATATTATTACTCGGGGTATGAGTACGAGGGTCTGTAAGAAAGATAGAAGATGATAGAAAAATAAAGTGATCTTTATTTTATTAATATAGGATTTATTATAATTGATTGTCAATTCTTAAATATCAATAATGCCACGAGTATTGACGGTTATCGATGATAGGTGGGATTGAGTCACCTCGTGTGTCTACCCAGAGTGGTATGGTGGCTATACATATGAACCTCCAACCTAACTCCTGAAATAGACACGTATCAACGATATAACTCTGCCAAGTAACTCTGTACAAACANACTACGGGTTTGGCGAACCCGGGGCCCCGAGCTCTGAGCTGGCCTTAATTGGTTGGCTCTGTCTGGTCCTCCAGGTTGGGGGTTTGGCGACGGGCTAACAACCCGTCACTGTAAAAAACTCTACTGTTAAGAAACCAAAACTAAAGCCTCGGGACAGAGATTTGGATAAAACACAATGGAAACGGCCCGGACTACAAGGATTTAGGATTGGCACATGGAACGTAAGAACTTTATATAAAGCAGGAGCTCTTGGTACACTAGTCGATGCAATAAATAGATATAAGGCAAATTTAGTAGCGCTACAAGAAACGAGATGGCAAGGAGAAGGATGTATACCAACAGGTAACATGACATTATACTATGGTGGTCTAACGGCTAATAAGCGTGAAAATGGGGTGGGTTTTCTCGTGCACAATAGTCTAATACCATGGATTAAGCAATTTAAGGCTATAAATGACCGAATATGTTACATTCGGATCAATATGAACCACCGGGACATGGTAATAATTTGCGCATACGCACCAACCGAATCAGGAAATGAAGAAGCAAAAGATGCCTTTTATGAAGAGTTGGAACAAGTATATGACGCCTTACCAGGCCATTGCATTAAATTATTATTGGGAGATCTGAACGCCCAAGTGGGAAAAGAAAATGCTTACAAAGCGACGATTGGAAAACATAGTCTACACGACCAAAGCAATGATAACGGAATAAGATTAATTAATTTTGCAATAAGTAAAAATATGGTAATAAGCAGTACAAGATTTCCAAGGAAAAATATTCATAAAGAAACATGGTTATCTCCAGGAGGAAGATATAGTAGCCAAATTGATCATGCCCTCATAGAAAATAAATATAAGACGATTATAAAAAACGTCAAAAGCTACAGAGGAGCAGACGCAGACACAGATCATTACTTGATCCTGATTGACTTCAGAGTAAAGATATCCATGGAATGGAAAAAGAAACAAAAAATACTCGGAAAATACGATGTGGATAAATTAAGAAATGAAGAAACATTACGGACATTTCAAGAAACAGTGACTAATGTATTAGGAAAAAAAAGAGAGGGAGTAGATAATGAACAGGTTGAGGAGTCATGGAAAGTAATAAAAACCTCCATAACCGAATCCGCAGAAAAAGTCATTCAACATACACAAAGAAAGAAAACAAAGAAATGGTTTAATGACAATTGCAAGAAAGGAATCAAGGAACGCAATGAAGCCAGAATCAAAGCTATCCACACACCAACCCCCGAGAACTTAAGGGCCTTCCAGGAAAAACGAAGAGAAATAACTACACTGATAAGAAAGGAAAAGAGAATAGCCGAAAAAGAACGATTAGAGGAGATTGAAAACTTCAAACACAACCCCAGAGAGTTTTTCAAACGGTGCAAAACATTTAGAAATGGATATATACCGGCTATGCGTATGATAGAGGATAATAATGGTGCTCTAATTACAAGACCGGAAGGAATTGCCGAGGAATTTAGAATGTACTTTAAAAAACTTCTTAACAATGGCTCAACAACGGAGGAAGTAGGCGAACAGGACGACACCATACATTATACGGTTGAACCGGAAGTATTAAACCCGAGTTTAGAAGAGGTACAGTGTGCAATCCAGACTCTAAAAAATAATAAGTCACCAGGAGATGATAAAATTGTAGCTGAATTATTGAAGTTAGAAGGACAAAACCTAACACAAAAATTACATCATCTAATTCAACAGATATGGACAAAGGAAAAGATACCACAAGACTGGAATGAATCATTGATATGTCCAATTTTCAAAAAAGGTAACCGAAAAAAAGTAGAGAATTATAGAGGAATAACACTACTGAACACTGGGTATAAGGTACTTTCATTAATCATACTTAAAAGACTACAAATTTATACAGATGAGATAGTGGGTAATTACCAAAGCGGATTTAGAAAAAATAAATCAACTACTGATCACATATTTGTCATAAGACAAATTATGGAAAAAAGTTATGAGTTCGCGAAAGATCTACATATGGTTTTTGTGGATTACAAACAAGCATATGATAGCATAAATAGAGGAAAACTATGGAAAATTCTTAAAGACTTTGGTTTGCCAAACAAATTGATCAGCATGGTGAAACTATGTAACACATACACCAGCAGCCGAGTCAAGGTGAACGGCGAGGTATCGTCTTCGTTTATAATAAATAGTGGATTGAAGCAAGGGGATGCGATGTCACCAGTGCTTTTCAATTTGGCATTGGAGAGTGTGATAAGAAAGGTTCCACGAACTGAGACATTAAACCTTGACGAAGGAAATGTCTTACTAGCATATGCAGACGACATAGTGGTTATTGGGAATTCGCGAGAAGGTATTCAGAATACTGTCGAAGAACTGATAAAGGTGGGAAAAGGTATTGGCTTGACAATCAACAGTGGTAAAACTAAATACATGGTGGTGAAGCGAGGAGGGGGTGACCATAACAACCTCCACGTCGGAAATAACACCTTTGAACAAGTACAAGATTTCAAGTACCTTGGGTCTACCCTAAATAATCAAAACAACATGCATGGAGAGATCAATATCAGACTGGGCGCTGCTAACCGATGCCTTTATGCACTGAAAACCCTCTTTAAATCTAAGCTACTGTCAAGGAAGACAAAAGAACATNTTAACCTTCCGGTGGACGCGTAGCAGCACTGTGTGCTGCCAAATTAGTTTTTTCGTGATAAATACTAGTATGTATTTTTGAAAGGCTAGATAATTTCAGTACCTGTAGTTGGCAACACTAGTAATATTATCAATATATCAATTATTATTTTCCTCCATACTATCAGTCACCAGTGAAGATTTAACGTGATAGAATTCATTCGGCAGCATTCCGTTCTGCACGCGCTCACTAATGTAAGTATTTTTATTATTCAAATTTTGATAGAAACTATTGCAAATTATTTTATTACAAGTTAGTTTGACTTTTTTTATTATATTTATTCATAATTTAAATATATGTATTTATTTATTACTTATGGCGAAACAAAACTATTCTGAGGAAGAGATTAGGCTTATTCTTGAACAATCTGATGATGAAGGGCAAGGACAGGTTCAAGAAACACAAGATATCGACGGCTCTGATGTTGAAGGTGAACTTGAGGCTGTAGAGGTAAATGAGTATGACAGTGGCTCAGAAGTTTCAGTAGAGGATGTAGACACCATGGAGGTTGATGATACAGAGAACGATTTTGTATTTTTTATTGGAAAAGATGGTGAAACCATTTGGAGTTCTAAGTCCCCCGTGCAAAAACGTTCAAGAGTACCAGCGAAAAATATTATAAAATTTACTCCTGGTCCAACTCGAATTTGCAAAGATACTCGGAGACCTATTGATGCATTTCTCAAATTTATAAACCTAGATTTGATTGATATTATTGTCGAATGTACAAATACTTTTATTGCTACAAAAAGAGCACAAGTAAAATACTCTAGAGATAGAGATTGCAAAGACACGTCTCGTGATGAAATTATGGCTGTTTTTGGTATATTGTTCCTTATCGGTGTGAAGCACGGAAATCGTGCAAACTGTAAAGAATTGTGGAAAGATGATGGAACAGGTATGTTGATCACAAGAGCAACATTTAGTTACAAGCGATTTCTTTTCTTACTTCGAACAATCAGGTTTGATGATTTGTCTACTAGAGCGAAGAGAGAAAAAACTGACAAACTTGCTGCTATTAGATGTGTATACAAAATATTTTTGGACAACTGTAGAAATAATTATAGCCTTAGCGAGTTCACAACAATTGATGAGATGTTATTCGCATTTAGAGGACGATGTGGTTTCGTTCAATATATGCCGCAAAAACCAGCCAAATACGGACTGAAATTTTATGGGCTGTGTGATAGTAAAACTTTTTATACATCAAATTTTGAAGTGTACTGTGGAAAACAGAGGCCAGGACCTTACGATGTATCTAATAAACCCTACGATATTGTTCAAAGACTTTCCCAAAATATTCAACATTCTAATAGAAATATTACAATGGACAATTACTATACTAGCATTCCATTAGCTGATAACTTAATAAAAAATGGATTAACTATGATTGGAACTCTCAAAGCCAACAAAAGAGAGATACCTCCTCAATTTGTAACGAAGTCACGAGAAATTGGTTCATGCTTATATGGATTTCAATACGATAAAATACTTGCCTCTATCCAAACCAAACGAAAAAAATGTGTCTTGCTTTTATCAACAATGCATGACTGCGAAGGTATTGATGAAAAGACCGGTAAACCAGTGATAAATATCAACTACAATGCTACTAAAGGAGGTGTAGATACGGTGGATAAGATGTGCGCTGCGTACTCAACTGCACGGCAAACACGGAGATGGCCCCTAAGAATTTTTTTTAGTTTTTTAGATTTGGCTGGTATAAATTCTCAGGTAGTATTTTACCATAATAACCTATCCACTAAACGTCGCCGTGAATTCCTAAGTGACTTAGGGTTTGAACTTTTAGAGACTCATTTGAAAATAAGAGCTCAGATAAACACTCTTCCTAAAGACATCAAAATATTTCTGGACAAATATCATCACCAACCTCAAACAATAAGTGCTACAGAAACAGATAAAAAATCTGGACCTTGTCACATCTGTGGCGGAAAAAAGTGCAATCGTACAACGGTCAGATGTTGTAACTGCGAACAATTTGTTTGTAAGAAACATTCCAGACACGTTGCAACATGTGATAATTGTACATAAGAAATCATTGTGATAGTTAAGTTTAAAATTTTAAAATTTTTATATTTTTTTCAACTGGGAAAAGTTAACCCTCAAGTAAATATTTTAACGAAGTTACTACTTTTTTAGTTCCTTTAATTCAAGTCAATATTTTTTTGAATTTTG